TGTGCCGTGATCAAAATATGATTTCTGTCGGACATTGTCACTCAAGGAATTGACATTTTTTCAAACAATAAATATAATTTTTTCAAACCGGATGTCATACTCAGTAGAATTTATATGAACGATTGTAGTATAACTCGTAGTTGTTCACAGCATTTCGAATTTTACCTTTGATATCATTGCACGGTAGATATGCAAGCAACAGAGAATGACTGTAATCATTCGAGTATTAGAGAATAGCCGAGAAGAATCATTTGTGAACTAGACTTAATGCAGTTGCGCTCAAGAAGAATCGACAATCTATTCAAGACACATAACAGAACACAATCAACTTTAACGTGATAAATTTGTTCTGGAGGTGTTCTCAGGTGATTCAAATGAAATGAACAACGTGTTTATGGAGAGTTTCACGGTTCTGCTGTCCGCGAATCGTACAATTTATCAGCCAGACAAGTTGTTTCTGTTGAGATCTGATAAGTTTCATGACGATCTACACCAATGCTTTCTTAACTCATTTGCCGACAATGTACGAATCTGTTCCGCTACACTAGGTTTTATGAACGACTGCTTCAAATGCGACTTCTTACCAACACATTAAAATTCGAACAACATTTGCTATTTGTATTTACTGTCATTTCAATGATCACAATGTATGTACAACAACGGCAATCATAACAATACATCATCAAATGAAAAAAAGTCACAAATATACAATAAATTTTTCTGCTTACATGTAATGAACAACAATGCAAAGGTGAATTTACAAAATGAAGATCATAAGGATGCGAGAATGACTGACTATCCGTCGATGAATCGTAAACGTTCACACGCCACCGATTTCAGATTCGCCAGACGATCATGCATTTCCCTTCTCAACTGCTCCTCAGCACATAACCTCGGTGTCCACTCGCGTCGATATGCCAATAAATCAGGTGCCGTTTGTATGAATGTACACACCTGGACAGTTGTACTCTCATTCACTCAATAGTTTTCATTTAGTTGCAACAATCTCGAATCGTGATCAAGTACGGATTTCGAATCATTTTTTTCTTCTACTACTGTAATCACCAACTCTTGTGCAACATTCAAATGAAGGTGATTTGAAAAAAAANAAAAAAAAACCGTTTTTGTCCCAGAAAAGATCAACTTTATCACTGAACTGTTGACAGTGTAACCCATAAACAAACATCACGATATTATCTCTAACAATTACCAACATAAAAATGATAATAATAACAGTAGTATTATCATTTCAACGGATAAAACGTAACGCACCTCGAGAGGATATAAGTTATCGTCTGAAATAGCGTGTGCAAAGTGTTGAGCGTCGAACTGATGTGCATCAAATGCGGTATCCGTTGGTATAAGCCTAGAAAATCAAGTTTGATATTTACACAACATTATTCCACTGGAATGACATTCTCACCAAAGTGATTTAATACTCGTATGAGGTCGAATATAGACAGAACAATAAAAATATTCTTAAATCATTAATAAAACTATTGATGATAGCAATATACAAAATGAATGAAAACAAACCAGTTCAGAACAACACATTGGTCACCGTGTGTATCGGTGATGATACCACGGATTTGTGCAAAATACGGCAGACCATCCTCATCGTCAACTATTGAAACAATATCACCCAACTGGATTAGGCGTCCTTCCTGAACAGTTCAACAACTAAGTAGAAATGATATTTGGTCGATAATTGAGAATGATATTGCTAAGATAACGAAAACCAACAGAATCCCAAATAGAATCATGTGTTCGAATCGTGGCTCTGGAAGAGGGTGCTTTAACTGGACGATTCGATTTGAACAGAGAAGTACGTCGATTAACGTATTTGTTCACTGATGCATGGTGACTTGTCGACGAACGATTTGTTTTACTCAAAGTTAGAATGGAATAATTTTATTGCAGTTTAAAAAAATGCACACAATTTCTTTGAGCATTCTAAAAACCAACAAAAAAACATTACTTTCGTGGAGATGAAAATTTTTCGAAGTTCGATGGCAGTTAATCGTGTACAAATATACAAAATCTCGAAACTAACATTGCATTGCTTCTCGTCGAACGTGCCACATTCCGAGCTGACACTCTTCTGGCGGCTATACCCACCGCAGATAACTGAACATAGTTTTTGTAAAATACGCTTTTAACTTTACAGTGCTGACACTGCATGCAGCAGTGCTTTTCGTTTTCAGTTCTTCTGATTTTGAATAAAGGATTTTCTCTACAACTGAGTAAACAACTAAACGATCGTAAAATTCATTCACAGCGCCTTCAAAAAAAATTATAATGAGTCCGAACGGAAAAACGAATTAATATCGATGGTTGAGTACAAATGAAGAATAAATTCACTGCATCATGAATGCAGGTAAACTGTATAATTTATTCCAATCCAAAATGCATAAATTTATTTCCATATAGGAATATATTCCAATGGATGATAGAGCCACTGCTTGAAAATATTTCAATACAAATATAAATAGTTTTTAGGCATTTACCTCAGCACGTCGTTTCGGCCGCATGACTGGTTCGGCTTTCAGCTCTCGATTCGACCAAGTAATATCCGATAAGCGATGACGGCTTGATGCACCGATATTTATATTGAAAATGCTGCCTTTTCGCTTTGGAGCGCCCTTCACTATAGGTTAGCGTAAAAGAAGGAAGTCGAAAGGCACTTGCATACACTCGCACGCTGTAGCGTTTTACGTTTCACAATGAGACAACCAGAGGAAACGCCTTGTATTCACGGATAGTATAAACTAACTGAATGAATGTAGTGCTAAAAACTCAAAATTTTAAATTGTCATAGCAAAGTGAAGAGAGGTAATTCAACAGTGACAATAGAATTCTAATTTTTCAAAAGACTGGCGGCGGTAATTGGTTTAGTGATCCATCAAATAGTATGGAACCAATGACATCCACACAAAATGTGAATGGCTATCAAACTGTTTGTGATTTCAATCGAAATCTCTTTCTGGAAGCTTTGGACTCATACCATGGAGCGAAGGTGATCGTTTGGGAGCAGACTCTTATGACTCCGTTCAGTATGGTAATTCGTTTCTGTTTTCATAATCTTTATTTTAAAATATTTTTCATTCATTTTCAAAAAAATGAATGGGGGTATAGTCATTTGAAATAATTGAAATGCCCTTTGCATTCATTCATTCTCATGTCAACGAAATATAATCAATTTGATCACCGCTCTTGCAACCCGAATGGTTTTTATTTTCAGGTGATCGGTGCAAGTAAACTGAAGCAACGCAAAGTGGTTGCGATGTACGATTTGAACGATTGTGGTGCTGTTTCGTCGATTGAACATAATCATGTTATTTATATTATCTCTGCCACCTTTATTGCTCTCAAAAAATTAATCGCTCATCTACATTCTATTTTAGCGCTTCACGTAAGTTGCACTCTTTATTTCTGAATAACTTTACTTGGAAATTACATTGTTATAAGCGTTCTCATCGAAGCATAATTTGAGTTGGGTGCTTTGGATCGATTTTGCAAACATTTTTTGTGATTAAGTTCTAGTCGAATGTACATTTGTGAATATTTTTTAAACATTCGTGAAAAATTTTCAAACATTTTTGAATATTTTTCAAACATTTGTGAATATTTTCCAAACATTTGTGAATGCGTTATTAAGTTGACAAAATTCTTAAGCAACTGTTGAACGAAGCAGTAGTTTCAGTTAGAAGATACGCGTTTGCATCATGTTTTGTTTGTGCCCGATGCAACGTTGGCATTGCGTGATCGTTTAGAGGAACACCGTGAAATCAATTCGATGCTCGCGTCGGTTGAACCGTTACCGATTCGAATCTATACACTTTACGATGATGTTTTCACACTTCTTATGGAACACACTCCAGCAAAATTGTTGATCAATAATGTTAGTCGTTTACTTGATATTCTCATTTATTCTTTTTCAATTACAAGTTACAATCAGTATTTCAAAGGCGGTTGAATATCATTAAAATGATCCATCAATTTTGGATTTATTAATGTCTCTTATCGATCTATCAAATATCAGCGCTCAACAATTGATTTACTCAATACATTTATGATTTTTAATTAGCTTTAAATTTCCTCTTTTCACATAAAATTATAAATTTTCTGTAGTGGTCAGTTGTGAACTGATGTTTATTTATGTTGATATTCATAACGGATCAGAGTTGTATGCGATTTAGTGTTGTAGTGATTTAAAGGATTGGACAGAACTGCATAAATGTGCGTGTGCATTGAGACAGTTGGAGCAGTTATCCGTATCGTTGCCCAATATTCGTTGCAAAGGGAAATGGTCAGCTCAGATCACTGAAATAATCAACAAAATGAGAAATGATGTATGTTCGTTGTCTATTTGCTGACTGTTTATTGAAACAAGCATTTGTTGTGAACGAATCAGTTGCTTTCATTGAATCATTTAGTTTATGGTTTTGATTCGTAGTTATCCAATCATTATTCGCTATTGAAAAAGGCAAAATTCAGGCGAATGAAAATGAGGACGCATCGAAGAACGATCCAAAGCGGATAAATATCTCAGATATTATAATCATTGACCGATGGGTTGATCCATTAACACCGATGCTAATGCAACATACGTACGCGGGTCTCATCGATGAAATCTGCAATTTTGGTGTTTCAGGTTTGAGGATTTGTTGTTTGCTTTACTCATACCAATTTTATCTTTTTTTTACTTATTATTATTTTTACTTTTCTTTTTTTTTCAATCCAGCACGATGTTAGAGCTGTGTGCCTTTCATGTTGTGTTATTGCTTGTTTATATTTTTTACTTAGCAATAATTGTTACCCATTCACGATTTTATATCGCATTTCGAATAAATGTACCATGATGAATAATTTTCATAATCGTTGTAATCAGAAAATTGTTGTAACTTTCCGTTTGTAGGCAACCTAACAGCATCATTCTTTCCGAAAAAGGACGGTTCAGAAGGAGATGCTGCTTCTACGACGCGTTCGCTGCGAGACGAAATCTTCGTGAAATTACGTGATTTACATATAAGTAATATTGGGAAATCAATTGCTGATACAGTGACCGAAATTCGAACGGAGAAAAGTGTTCGTTTTCAGTTGGTCTGATTTCTGTTCTTCAGATTCATAATTAGGAAATGAAAGTGAATGTATCGAAACGTTTCATATATTCGACTGCAGGAGCATATTTAATGTAAATCCAGTCACAATTAGTGTTCACTGCATGAAACGTTCTACTGGTTAAATTCGATTGATATAAATAATGCTTGCCAGTAAATGGGTGTTTTATGATTGCGGAGGAATACTTTACGCAGGCAGTTACGATATATTCTAGAGCATCGAAAGAATAATTGGATGATTGCAGGCATTGAAAGAGTTTTCATCGATAGAGTCGATGACCGAACGTAAAGTTCTTGTTCGAAAGGTTGTTGAAACAGATCAAAAAGAGTTCAATGTGCGTATTCATACAGCTATTGCTGAACACCTTATGAACACTATCCGAGACGATCCAAAAATGTCGAAATTTTTGGAGATTGAAATGAGTACGCAGTTACGATATATTCTAGAGCATCGAAAGAATAATTGGATGATTGCAGGCATTGAAAGAGTTTTCATCGATAGAGTCGATGACCGAACGTAAAGTTCTTGTTCGAAAGGTTGTTGAAACGGATCAAAAAGAGTTCAATGTGCGCATTCATACAGCTATTGCTGAACACCTTATGAACACTATCCGAGACGATCCAAAAATGTCGAAATTTTTGGAGATTGAAATGAGTACGTTATCACTCCTATTCATTATATTCTTTTCGTATTGTTTGCTATTGTTATCATTCTGATTATCGGAATTGCAGTTCAGTTGTTATCATGAATTGTCACAATGCTGATTAAGATATAATACGTGGTGTTTATGGTGAACGAGTGATACCGTTCGTGGAAGATCTGATTTTGTGTGCGTTTCAAGCGAGTTGTGTATTGCGATTTATTGCGTTACAGTGTCTTACGTATGGTGGTCTGAAACCAAATACTTACACTGCTTACTTACGACTTTTTGTTCAGGTATATTTAGAGTTCATTACGTGATACCATCTACACCAAGCATTTGACCTAACATTTTAAGTTTAAGTTGTCGTAAGATACCCGACGTTTTCTTGTCGAGATTGTTGAGTTATCGTCCCGTCTTGTCTTGTCATCAGTTCATGATCGTTTTGAATCCTTAAAAGATGTAAAGAGCTTCGT